CCCCAAAACCCCAAAACCCCATGAAATACAATATAGCATAAACAAAAGACTTTAAAATTTTTATAATAAAATTTGATATAATAACTCCATTAATTTCCATAAGACTAGTCTCTATTATTTTATGCTTAATATTTTAAAGATGACGAATTATCAAATTAAGTTAGCTATAATTAGTCAATTCAACTTTCTTTGTTTGAGATTGCAATCAAATTGCCCATCTGCAGACATCTTTAATAATCTTAATTAACTCATGAATCTTCTGGTTTTTATTTTCCTCTGTCATTTCAGTCTTCTCACAAGCCTACACGAAATATCTCACATATTTCATTTGATACTCACCCATTTTAGCTTAAATAGAGCCTTCATAGGCATCAATCATAGCCCTTAGGCAATCAAAGTTTCTGGGTAAAACCACTTCATAATTTATTATGATAGCTTTAACGATTCCATTTGTCTATTTCTTATGATTTGAGTTGACCTATTACTTGAAAAGAGCAAAGACATGGTCATCCCTCATTCTTTTATTTTCCTCTAGATCAAAATCTCTTTGTTAGTAAGGAAATTAAAAGTTATTCATGTAGACTCTACTCTACAGATAATGAAAATTAATGTCTCGTGAGCTTCTGCTGCTCCTTTATATTGTATCAGTCTAGACTTGCTTCGACCAGCAATATTCCATATTATGGTTGTCTGAATTCATACCTTCATTACCAATTTTTACATCTGAAGAATAACTACAATCATTAGTCTAGGAAATCCTTTGCTATATATTCTCAGTCTTTGCATCTATGAGATTTCTCTTAATCAGTTGAGATTATTACTATGAGTTTTAAGAAATCTAAGCTTCATCAAGATAGTATCTATACAAGGTATCCTATAAATCCAACTGCCCATATTGCATAACGTGAGACCAGCGAGTAGCTTTTTTCACTGTCTCAAATTAACTGAGCAAACTATCATTAGAGTTATCACTGGCATTAGAATTCTCCATCCAGTTTACTGAGAATAAATCACCAAGGCAAGTACCTAGATGTTTGCCATCCTTCAGATCATCTGGATAGCAATATGTTCCCCATGAACTCTCTTCTGCATTAGTAGCTGTCATTACATATATATTCAATGTTGGATCTAGCAGGCCTTAGAACATTGAACCTGATTCGCAGGCGTCAATATATAATACCATTTCACTGTACATATTTTGCTTGTGCATATATGTCAGATTTGAAATCAAATCATCTGCGTAGAGATATTTTTGTGGGAAGCCAAGCAGACCGGTTGCTCCGTAACCAGAAAAAAATACAAATATTTTACTGTCTTTTGTACTATATATGACCTTTTCATTTCCTATTCCTTTCATTTTCTCACTATCACCCTTGAGAACATTAAGAAAGTCAACAGGTGTTATATCAACGTCTTTGTAATCAATCTTACATCCTTTATATACATCTTCACCATATGGTTTATTGAAGATTTGTCCAGGAAAAATGTTTTCAGAGTTTTCGGCAATGTCATCATAAGCAAAGACGATTATGTTCTCTTCAGACATACCATTTTTTCTTAGAATTTAATAAGCGTGGCAAACATCTGCCTAATGCCTATAGTTCTAGTACCCATAGGAGCCTGCTACCAAGACGGCCCGGAGATGAATTTCCTATATTCATAAGTCATTAAAATCATTAAATGCAAACAATGTAATAAGAGCGAGAGAATATCTTAAACTATTAGATGTCATGGCTATTATAACTTTATTATAATTAATAGTGTTTAAGTTTATATTATGTCTCTAATCTTATGCTTGTTAATTGATAAATAATAACCAAAAATTATAATATTTGACAAAAGAATAAAAGTATTAAATATAGAGAAGAAATTTAACATTTCAATTAAGCGGTAAAATGCAGTAACATGGGGTTTTGGGGTTTTGGGGGGTCTCTATTAGGAGTCCTAGTCAATAAATA